CGCCAATTATGAACCGATTTGAACAAATCTTTTTTCGGCGTATAGGTAATACCTCAAGGGTGGTCCCATTTAAATTTAATAATAGAAAAAACAACCCCCAAGGGTGGAAAATTGGGGATGAACTTTTTTATACGCAATATCTCCGCCGATTATAAATCAATTTGAACGATTATTTTTTTGTTGAATAGGTATTATCAAAAGGGTGGTTTCATCCGAATTTGAAGAAAATATTTCACCCCCAAGGGTGGAAAATTGGGGATGAACTTTTTTATACGCAATATTTTTAATTTTTAGTTTTTTTTTGTGTTCACGCATTTGAAGTCGGTTTTATTTTTTTCAAAAGTTAATTATATTTGTTGTGTTATTCGGCCTGATCATAGTGATCATCACTTTCTATCACATGAGATGCAGGCCAAGGCATTCCTTGTTGTGGAAAAATCCTGAAGAATCAACTTTCACCGACATTAATTGTTGATGCCAAAAGTGGCCCTTGCCCTTCGTTCTTGGTTCAGTCGAACCTTAGTTCGTTCATTTACTCCATGACATTTGCGACATGTAGGGTTACCATTCGCTCTAGAATGTCATCGCCAAGTTTCAATGTAAACCAAAGACTTTTAGTTTTACGTAGTTATTGCTGGCAGGTTCACCAAGAATTCTTATCCTCCTATGGCGGAAATGATGATGATGAAAAACGATCTGAGTTTGCTGCTGAACATAGGCCTATAAAAGTTGATATAAAATTTGACAGTAGACTAAATTTTCACGTTTGGCGTCAAAGAAGCGTCTAAAACCAATCATAAGGTCTTCTTACCTATACAATTGTTTGGCCTATTCACAAGTTACTTACTGCCACTGGCAGCCCTGGACGCAGCCGGTGTGCCGGCGCACGCAGCTACAATGTCGCCGGCGCCGCGCGATTGTTGTACGCGACGCTCATTCTTATCTAGGGACAAGTCGTTAGCTGTTTCCGCGGAGGATCAATCAATGTACCTGTGTCTACTATTATGTATTGTGTCAATGTGGTACTTTTTGATAGATTAAGGCTGTTTCTGTTTCTTAAGATGAATGGAAGTCATGGTAGTTTCTTCATCAATGCTCGTAAATGTTAAACGCACTGTATTCTTCTGTGTAAAAATGGTACATATTTTTTGTCTTGCCGAATAAAGAAAACTTATAAAAAATTAACATCTCGACCGTTAGCTGATACTCTTAAAAATTCTCTCTGCAACTCCATTCCGTTGCATGATTTCGATGACCAGTCTCTCTAAGATCTTAGAGTTAAGGAGAATGATTATGTACCTGACTGAATGGTGGCAATAGTCTGCTTCTATCTCAGATATTTTAGTGATTGGTGCTTTCTGCGTCTGATTGAAGTTATTGTTGCATAAATAAAATAGTGTTGTTGGTGTGTATAGTGTTATCATTTTGGCAGATCTTGGAGCCAGCAGAACACATTTATATCTTTGACGGGATAATAGAATCGAATGGTTCACATAATTAAAGGCTTCGCAATCATTAGGCTTCTACATGAAGTATAATATTAGTTTGCATTGAATAACAACATTTAGGGGAGAGTTCGGTATATTGTACCGCCGGGTAAATTGTACCACCCTCATATTTCGTACAGTATTTATTGAATGTCTGTAATTGCAACACTCAGCGATACACAACTAAAATCAATTAATATCGGCCATGTGGTTTTTGCCGTGACAATTAACACGTGTGTTTTATTTTGAAAAGTATTTTTTCATTGTTTTCAAGTAACTTTTGACAGTACATGTTTAGTTTGTAATTTTGTTAAATTTAATCACAGGGTGTTTCTAATATATTATTTAGAAGCGTAAATTAGTGTGGATTACAATTATTTGAAACATTTTTCGGTATTTATAAGCTATATTTTTTACCGATTTTTTAAAAGCACTATCACCTAGTCGGCTAAATTGTACCACATCAAGTTGTATGGAACTTTACCAAAGGATTTTGAAATTTTTTTTAGTAAATCATATTTTGCAATTATAATAGCGTAGTTATGTTTGACTAACAATAAATGAAAGCAAAAGACTGGCAAAGTAGATTAGGTACAAGTATGCGTTACGATAATTGGAATTACAAAACTTATACTCAAAATCGTGATAACGTGTAAAACAATATCGATTGTCTATGTTATTAACTACTGTTCCTTTTCGTTTCCTAATTTGTTAAAAATGTATCGTATAATATTTTGCCATAGTTTTTTTATAGGCTTGAAATTTATTGAAATCCAATTTAGTAACCCTGTGGTACAAATTATCAAACCGGTTGGCTAAATTGGACCGAAGCTCTGAACTCGTACTTTGTTGATTTATGCTAAATATACAACAATCATGTTAATTAATACTTATGAAATAGTAAGTTGAATAATGTATCTTTTATTATATTTATATACCATGGACATTAGCAAAAACAAAAGAAATCTATGTGTAAAATGGGATTGAAAAAAACTGGTCCAAATTAGCGGACTCTCCCTTATGTTAATGACAAATATCACGAGCGCGGAAAATAGCGCGTTGCAAGTGTGCAATAATGATAATTGCGAAAGTGTCAGCGCCATGTCATCGTAAGGCTTACGTCACACTACACCTACAAATAGTACTTTACTATTTTATGTGTGTTAAGTGTATGCAAATAAATGATTTGTCTATCTACTACAGGTTATTAAAAACATCATTCTAACGACTAGCTAAAACCCAAATAAAAAGCTTAATAAGTATATTTTATGGTATTTTCGTAGAGTAGAACCAGTGTCATCCTGCTTGCAAAAAATGCATCATATAATTTCTGTGTTAACTACGTAAATTTAATTATCAAGAATGACTAATCACGATTAGCTTATCAATACGTTAACAATCTGATATACTTTCTGTTCAGTTAACCTTTGGTGAATGAAATGAGTAGAGACGATTATCTCTACATAAGTCATTTTCATTCACGATTTCCGCCCGCGTCCACTGGACGACGGACCTAAGTCCTCGCGGTGAAGCCCCTGTAATAACCCGCGTAATGATAGCTGTACCATTTTTAATGACAGCTTATCATTAATAATACGAATGCGTATCTCGGGCGTTATCATTAGGTGGCGCCTGCTTACGTAACGCGGAATGTGGGACGGATCTATTTTGATGCAGCTGAGCGGTGACGACACACAGGATAAACTAAATGTTGCAACGATGCATTCGGTGTATGCTTGACGCGAAAATAGGGTAGCTGACATACTAGTCAATTGACATACTTATGAGATGTCAAAACGCGACTCTTTCATAGATTTTGTATAAGAGGATGATGACGTCGCCGGTTTGCAAATTAATTTGAACGTAGCTGAACCATGCTGAAGTTCATATGTTTTTTAAAACTAGGCTTATGCCACCATCAATCCCTAATTTTTAAGTGACCCCTTTGACAGCAAAATTCGTGATAGGTGTTACCATAGGGGTCACTTAAAAATTAGGGATTGATGGTGAAAACGGGCATTAGTTACTTATTCTGAAAAAGGCTTTCATTATACTCAATATGATCTGTTTTATTCCTGAATAAGCAGCATATTTCGATCCATTCCAAAATTAATTAAAAGATCACATCTTCACAAATCCGAAATAGTAACTTCTGCGCGTTCGGACTTATCTGAATCGGTCCAACAATCCAAACTCGAAACCGAGTCTGGGGCTTGAATAAACAATCGAGTGACGAGCAGCGAATCGATACCGACTCGAACTGTCTCGGCGCGAGTGCATTACCGGCGAAGTTAATCGACGCCGCATCTCTACATAGACGGCGGAGCAGACATCTCGCTGCACCGCGTCTCGGGTTTATGAACTCCGCCCAACAAACAAATTTACACCCTATTACTGGCACGCTAAAATCACATTTACAACCTGAGCGGCCATAAAATACGTTTCAGTTCTATGCTGTAGCGCTAAAGTCCGTTTTGCGGATCGGCGATATAGGCTGCGAAGTTGGGTCGGAAAATGAAGCGCCGTTTATAGTACGATAGAGTACTATCGTAGTACGCGGCGGTGTGGGGCTGCAGCGCGCGTGTGCGCTGCACGTATACTTATGAATGGAGTGGTCTATATCAGTCTGAGGCAAGGCCTTATTGATTTTTTCCAGCTTCGCCGCCGTTTCGCAGAACGCGGACCTCCACACATTAAACGCCAGCGATTTTTTTACCTACGCATGCATGTTTGTATTTTTACGGCACTTTTTATGACTCCGGCCGTTCCGACACATGGGTGCATGACATTCAGTATAAATAACATAAAAGGTTTAATGAATTAAATTGAGATGCGACTTGTTTTGTTTTGCCGTGATGAATGGGTCGGCTTCAGATAAATATGTTAATGTTTAGCACTAATTAAATGTTAATAATTTATTGCGATGTTTGCGTGTGACCGGGAGACGCTTGCATCTCGAAGTTGCAGTCGTTTGAATTTGAATTAGTTATCGTTATTTAATATTTTAAGTCTGTCTAATGGAACAGTTGCACTCGGAAATATGTTGTTAAATCTATTTACATATCTTCCAAGCATGTTTTGTTGTTGAAAAAAGCGAACAATACATTTCGGCTGTCACACGTGAGGTTCCCCGGAATGCCGGCAGGCGGCGCTGTTGGCTTAGGACCATTGTCCCCGCTTCCGATCCCGGGTGAACTCACGCACATCTGTCGGCTACGGCAAATAACGTTCATTTTACAATATTTTTACAAGAACACTGTAGCATCGATCCTGGCCAACATGTCACGATTAAAAAATCTTTTATGGAGTGAATCAAATTACATGAGTAGCTAGGTATCATTTTAATTAAATGCAATTTGATGACAGTTTAAATCTTTCTTATCTTTCCTTGTGTTCTAGAACAGATGAAGAACCATCAAAAAGAAGTGAAACATTTTTATGATAAAATAGAAGTAGGTACCTAACTAATCTTATCTTGATCGGAAAATAAACCAAATTTTCTTTATTTTTCAGGTAAAATACCCCACCTGAGCAACAATATGAAACCACTTGCTGCAATGGTAAGCCAAAATTCACATACCTATTACTTTGTGACATTACATAAGCCACAGCTACTGTTTATTCAATATTATATTTCCGTGACATGTTACGTGTGACACTGACAGCTAGGCGGGTCGGGGTGACAGGTACAGACGCCGGCACATCAAGCTTAACATTGTAGCAACCAATTGTATCGCAATAGGTGTTATTTTGCAACAAAAAATCATGATTTGTTGGCGATTGTACTTGTAAATCTCCAAAACTATTTACCTATTTTCATCGTGTGTATCATTAATACCTATGTATGTAGCTTCTTATTTACTTACAACTATATTATTGTAATAATTAGGGAACGATTAATATGGGAAATACAAATTAATTAGTTCTAAGAAAATTAAAGCGCCCGATTACCTACATTTAGAAATTAGTTTCATATCATCATACGTTATTAATCAAGCAATGAGCTCTGGAGATAATACTATTATAGTGTTTATCAATAAGTTTCCGGGCCGTCCTTCATTATATCGATAGGGATAATTTATTTATCGACAGATAAGTCACGATAAATGGGGCCGCACGGTAGCGTTCCTTCGCCTCACCTTGAAATGCTATAGTTACGTGCCGTTTATAGCGTAATATAAACTCTAGTAGCACCTAATAAAAATATTGCTGTAATCTCTCTAATTGTTATAAATTAAGTGTTCAACTCTTTACTTCAACCTAACACAAAATGCCAACTGATTGCGTTCTTTATGACTAAAGTAATAAGGTTCGAGATCAGTAAAAGTAGTTTTTTAGGTTGACTTGACGTTGCCTGTAGAAAAATATTAGGGCTTCAAAAGTACAAGTATAGTTTGCTACAGATTTTCTTAGGATATCGGTGAATGATACTCGATAAAACATATTTGATGTCTAATATTTCAAATATCAATGTGAAAAAATGCGGTTAAGTAAACATAAAGACGAAAAGTCACGTAACTTCAACGCACATTAATCATTTTATGGCTCCTGTAAAACATGTAATGGCACTCATAGAAAATTTCGTGATTTATGCAATTCACGACCCAAAGTATCTTCAGTTATCAAGACGAAGTAATACGCGTACTTGACTACGTACCTACGTCTGGAGGCCATAGCAACAATACAGAGGATATACAAAAAACTGGCGCCTCATTTGTAATACAAATATTTCATACATAGCGCGATATCATTACTGCTCTTGCGTCACCGAGCATACAACAAAGCTCGCCAACAATTTGTTCAGGTGAATCGCTATGAACACATTTCAAACAATAGCATCTTTATAGAATCTATGTTACCAGGTCGAGTGTTTCAGTATCATTAAAATGTGACGATTTCGCAATTGTAACTGTTTCAAAACTTTATCAATAGAACAATTAATAGAACGTAAACGATCCAAGCGCTTGAATTCGCGCGGTGCGCGTTAGCTAGCAATGTATCGTAAAATTTTAGAACGGTCCGGAATTCAACTTTATACCTGTTACCATATTCTAACGCCGCCCATTAAAAAAGAATCATTATACTCGATAACCATCCACATATCGATATATCTTGAACCGAATCGAGTTCATTTCCTTTCATTTGTTTTAATTTATCGGCCGAAAATTGCCATTTATAATTCTCACTCTGAGATTGTTACGCCGATAAATACATTCTGATCTCAAAATGTCAATACAAACATACGAAAGGAAGAATCAAATCTGCGCGCCAGAGTCGTAAACGAGATAAAATCTGAAACATTTAACGCTACAGACAATAGAATTTTAAAACCCTATCAACTTCAGCAATTTAGGGCAGCTGCGAATATAATGTCGAATGGTGGACGTCAGCAGGGAAAGGGATATTTTTTGGGAGCGGCAACAGCTGTTTCTGGACCAGCGTCGAGCGATTTAGCTCCGGCGCTGATGACAAATGCGCGGGGTTCTCGCAGGGCCGGCCGCCCAGCCGCTTGAACTACAGGAATGTTACTTGCCGAGTTCGCCGCCGGCTCGCATTATTTCGGTAGTAATATATGGGATTAAGAAACGGGGTAAATCGTCAAGATTATCGCAGGGCGTGGGCGAAATCGAGGCCATGACGAAACTCTGATTGATAACGTTATTGTACGATAAAGCCGTCAGCCGCGGTTGCTATGCCGCGGCCGGGGCCCCACGAATATTCCTATGGCTCTTGTATTCAGCGTGTTAATTATACGGAAAATGATAACAGCATTGATATAACGTGAGCGCTGAGATTCTAAACTCAAAATGGGTACACTGATAACTATTTCGTACGCATCATAACGAGTGATAATAACTGAGACGTGGCAACGCGGCTGTCCTTGAATAGCAATTCAGTGAGATACGTAGACAGCTACGGAAACAGCTAGTGTCTTTGGAATGTACGAGTAATAATAAAAACAGATGAACGCGCTCGTTACTCAGGATGTCATCGATTGACGTATTATGTTGCATTAGCATTCAGCAGATATCACTTGGACTCACAACTGGTCAATCACTCCTTCATTCATTCCCGTCCCGCATTGATTCGGAGACTTAGCTGAGTCACTCCGCACATATTAATCTCGCTCCACCCTTGCGGTACTCTGCGGGATTCGACACAGTAAATATGACGATTAACAAATACCCAGTAGATTCGCGCGAAAGTTCACAACTTCGCGATTGCTTTTGTTAACGGCGACAACAATGCAATTTAGAGTATGTATTAACACCGAAGAAGCGCCGCGTCATCGTTTTCAAGTACCCGGGCGTGTCCCGAGATTGTAATGTGACTGAGCACTTTTGTATTCCTACCTTAATTGACTTCACCATTTGACACTTTTTCTATCTTCGCAGATGTGTTCGAGTTAATTTATAATAACGTATTGTTAACTGTAGTCACTTTATCCTTATAGATTCTCACCTTAGTCTCTTGAGAATTGTTCTTTAAAAACACTAATAGACACGTTCATATTTTAAAGGGTCACCTTGAGGAAAATAGTGATTTTCTAAATTGTACCTTTTTTGATTTTGGTATTATGGTAATAATCAGATACAAAATTGTTGTGGTGTCCGTATTTATTGCTAATTTATTGTTTTTGTCACAGTGACTGTCATTTAGCAAAGTGGTCGCCAGTGTTGGTCTCTCCATTTGGCTCGTTCTAATTCAAAGGTTATTATTGTTACAGATCCAGCGTGACCCGTCTGATGCAGATCGCTATCTTCGCTCGACTCAGTCCACCATTTTAGATTAGGCTCTTTGTGTTATAATCATATTAGAATGTTCCGTAAATTAATCTTTTCATCTGTTGAACAATGCGGAATGTGCAGTTACCACTCATCATCGAAGTTTCTTCATTCAATGCCTCCCATCTCTGTGAATCGTGATAGTGTTCTACTGCACTCTCTCTTGTTCTCGCAACTCAAAAGTGATTTGTAACATGGGCAGTCCAATCGTCACTGATATGTTTTATGTGAAACCAACAAAGTATTGATAAGGTCCCGGAGGGAATCGCAAAAATGCTCTTTAGTTTATAAGCGTGACAGTGCACATTGTGATCCTCGTAACGTTTTTCCGTTTTCCTTCGCGATCCTGACATGTTCGCGCGTTATTGTTTTATTTTAATTTATTATTATTTTATGAATTTTTAAATTGTATACTTTGTTACGTTAAGAGTTTTGAATTATATTGACTAACACATACTAAACAATTCTAACGCATGACTTTTATTTTACAAAATCAACTCGCGAGTGTGCATGACGTTAAAGTTTTTAATATTTTTAATGTTTTATAATATGTTAAGATAGACAACCTGCTACTCTGACATGCGTATCTTAAAACAAATGTGATATTGATTTTGAAATGTTTACTTCAACAATTTGTACATAATGTAATCGGAATAATTCAATGATGAGATCGATCATATAATTGTCGTACGCCTTGCTCCATAAAACTTGATTTTAGGTTACAATCGAATCATTACTTAAATTCGAGTTTTAGTTCTTGCATGGCAATACCCGGGGATTGCATTCTAGTTTTTTGTAAGATGAAAAATTTGATTATGCAATCTGTTTAATTTATAAAATGTTAATTATGAATTAGTTGAGAATTGTTTTATAATTATTGATTTAGAATCGTTCAATAAACATTTCGGCATGAAGATTTTGTTTCTTTAAGCTCCGCGGATGTTCCCACAGCGTCTCGCATGTCTCATGAGCGGTGAATAGCTCTTTTGGAGGTCGAACGTAAAGTCATTTTTCAATTAATCCAATGTCATCAGGACAAGCCGACCTCTGCTCCGAACCGGCTAAATAACCTATGTTCGATGTCCTCCGTCGTTCGGGCGATAATCAACTTTATTAGTGGGATATTAACAACTGAATTTAATTACGTCCCATTGAGACATCGGCATATACTTGAGTAAATTTGAACAGTTGTTTCCTTCGTCAAATTGTCGTAAATTACTTTCCTACAGGTCTAGCGGATCGGGGCCGGTTTGAGAGGAGGATTGTTTTTGAAGCATTGTAGAGCAGGGCGTTTATTTTTGTCCGAATGGGGTTATGTTTGTTATGTCAGTGGCCCGCAGCTGATTTAGTTTGTTGGTGCGATAATTTATGGGTAGCGCTGTAAACTGTTGCTACCGGCGCTGACCGACTGAATCAAACGGATTTAGTGGTTCCGTTGCGGGAATCGGATAAATAAACTTACATCGAGCTCCGTTTTCATGTTGTGATTGTTCATTGAGCAAACTTTTCAACGATTGTCGAAGGAGATAAATTTTCAGTCGAATATTAAAAAAATACGTTTGGGATTATTCTCAAGCTGTTAAATAAATTATACATACGCAATCACATCGAAATGATCTCCTAATAACTTAAGTCAATGTCTATAAAAGGCAAAGCAATTCGACTAGTTGAATTATACAGTTATTAAAGTTTCTGTATGAATGATTAAATTCCGATGGATACATCTCGCGCTCGATCAATCATACATTTTTTAATGAAGCGAGTGAATAATAATTCAGAGTTATCGGCGATACTATCGAAATCTAACCATCGGATGATAACTGATGATTGTAATCATGATAGTGTACGAAAAAATGATTACCTGGAGCTCTTACACGATAGTATTTTGAGCAGTAAGTATCTACATGATTGGTACAACATAGTTTTACAACGCATACTACATTAGTTACGGGTTCGAATCCCGCAAGACGCAAACGAATATTGTGGTTATTGCAATATAAAAGGTATTTCATCAATACGATCCCCCGAACATCAAATTGTGGAAAACCGAGTTTGAGGCTAGGTAAGTACTGGTGTGACACATCAAGGTAACGTATGGTGTAACAAGAACGATTTCGCAGTATAGCCTAACAAGCATTTGAGAAGTCGCCGGTTCGATCCCGGTTGACTGCTGGACAAATGACAGAAATTACAAGTCGTCTATTTAAAAAAAAATCGAAGCCTATTAAATGTTTATTAAAGAGGTAAAGAAGATTCGAATAAACTGTATGAAGAATGATATCTTCACCTACTTTGTAGAGTATTGGATCGAGCAAAGTTATCTACCTACTAACACGATAAATTCATTTTACATGTCATAAAAGATTTCAAGTTCTTAGTAGAACACCGCGTCGCGTGGTCTCTAGTAATAAATCGGCTTAGACCTTTACAGGTAATCAATGAGTTATAATCTCTGTCAAGTGGCGTGTGAATCCACATAAATCTGCCTTATAGCTTTGGTCCAGCCACCGGCGCACGCGCAGTCACAGTCAATATAAGCCGCAGTAAATCAACCGCTTTTAAGATCGAAGTGGGCAGTCCGAGTGAGCCAAATCAAACGCCTGTGGTGATTTATTGGGAAGAAGAAGAAGACTGGAAACGCTTGAGGCAGCGTTTCCTCGAACAATATGACCTGGACTTTTTCAAGGTAAGAAGAATAAGAAAATGCACACTAAAACAACATAACATGGGCTTTTTCAAGACAGATAGACTGGACCCCAGTCGCATCTACACTTATCATAATGTGGGGTTGCAATCAAATACCTGCTCATTTGGCTGAAAAACAAAATCTAATTTGTCAGTACTTACGAGTAAGAATCAGTTGTAGATATTCACTAAAGAGGTTGAGTTAAGATGTTTTTTGACCAGTTAGCACAGTCTTACACATATTTTTTAATATTGACTCTGACAAAATGACAAAAAGTACTGCTCTATTTTGTATACTGTGGTCAGCAAGGCTACCAACTTTTACTGGGCCTATGATGAAAGCCGCACGGGAATTTGCACTGCAATTGTCGTTAAAGTTTACGAAGCAAATGCTCTAAATTGACTGTATAATCTGATTGAACCCCATCAAATTATGATCTTAGAGCAGTGTTCATGACTATCTTAAGTAGATATCTGAAGACTTAATCATGTTCTTACAGCTTGATTAATATTGAAGATTAGGATTTTAACCTTTTGCGCACAATATCAAGAATAGTTGTAGCTGAGAAATAATTAAAAGACAAGATTCAGAGGATTGGCTAACAAGTTTTGAAGCTGAAGATAATTTTCAGCATTAAGTTACGAGTATCCTCAGTCAAGAGTTAAGATCCTCAGTCAGTCAAAAGCCAATAGATAAGAAAGAATGTTTAAACCATACGAATCAATAGATTTCATTGCTTAATAATCGAGCGATCGGTTAAATGGCATAAACAAGATAATCTAATATGGTAGACATTTGTATACGTGAATTTCATACCTAATGCATGATAATTACGTTCGTTGATGAAGAAGTTCATAATGAAAACGACTGTCCGTTCGTAAGCAGATGCATCACGTATGAGATTAATTAAAATGTACTAGACAGGTCTAGGCCGTACATCATCCGGCAGATGGTGGCAGTGTGCATAGAAACTGCAAATAGAAGTTTTAATTTCGATAACAGTTAAGTAGGCACGTGTGTAATTTGAAAATTATAAACTTGTAAGGATAATGCTTGATTGTAAATACTAATTACAGATACTAGCTATTTCGAGAACTTTGAGTTTAGCTGTTTCTTTAATCGTTCTTTAACGATATTGGTATTTACTGCAACGAACTCATGTTTATACTTAGAAGAAAATAAAAAAGGGGTAGTTAAGAAGTAGGCAATTGGTTTAATAGCTGAAACAATGTATTTATTATATTGTTATTAGTTGCAAAACACACTTTTTGTGTGTGCTACATTACGCACCGTGAGACCCCAGGAACGGGAGAAAAACGTCAGTTTTGTACTTAATTGAATACTTTCTCACAGCGCACCAATAACTACGTTACATAAATTTATTATAAGACCATCGCAAACTTATGTAATAACTTCGCGACACTATTATTGACAATTCACAGGCTCATTTGTATTCGCAAACACTTCACTCGTGTTGGATAATGCGATCCGAATTTATTGCCCGTCTCTTAAAGAAATACGGTACGACATTTAAAAAGCAGTAACTGCATAAGGCGGTCGAAAGTGCACCGATAAATAAAAGTTGTCGCACAAGTGACTTTCTGTTTGCGAAATCTTGCAACTTAATTGGGTTGCTGTCAATTTTGGATGGTGTGCCGCGATACACAGGGAGAGAAGCGAAAAAGATAGCTGAAGCTAATAATCATAAATTATCATCATCATTTCAGCCACAGATCCACTGCTGAACATAGGCCTCCTCCAATGATTCACACAATCATTAGCCACGTATTTATAATTTTTTTGAAGAATATGAAGCATGTTAGCAACCATTTACCGTACCTATTACAGAAATGAGAATACTTTTTCGTCCCAGTGGGACGAACGTGTTGTGGGACGAATCACTGAACTAGCCGTTTTGGCAGCATTTGGTTTTCAGCATGTGGTCAAAATAATACGTCCCAAATACTAAACTGGTAATTGAATATAGTATTGAATATTATCGCGGTTCAACTTTCAGTGTAGAACAATCTTTAAGTAAAGTATTCGTCCGGATTTCGATATGACACATATGTTTAAGTTGAACTGGTGTTTTTTAATGATATAATTGTAGTCTCGTAGCTTCAGGTCGTCCTCGTATAGGTTTGCTTAACTTCGAGGGTTTATGTAATTAATTACATTCATTATCAATTATTTTTGCATCAGCGGTGACAGTAAGCATTGACAAGTATTTCTTTAATTGTTGGCTTCGAACAATTATAAATACATGGGATGATTTAAAATAAATTGCTGATCATTTAATTGTTGGAAGGCCAGAGAAAGTAGAGTCAATCCCTGGTTACTTCGTTTCAGTGGTCACTTATTTCGTTTCAGAGATAAAATGTTTGTGTCGTTCGTATATCGTTGTTTTATCTAGCTGGAGGCAATGTTTTAATAAAAATTTAATCGTCTCAAGTATCACAATACTATCTGCAAATGAACGTGCACTTTCAAATGCGACCTATTCAAAACAAATAATCAACTTTCACTATTGCGAGCCACATTGCAGAATCATGTATCAACAGTTTTATGTCCTATAATCTTATCTAGAAAAGTCACTAAAGCTTAACCAGTCTTTAAACTGCCAGGTCTTAACATTTACGTTTGACTTATTAATCGGACGGCATTTGAGAGGCAGCCATTTTAATTAACCGGCTATTAAGTGCCGAAGGATTAGGAACACTAAGTCACGAGCAACGCCGCGGGCGACGCATTAGTGTCGGCCGCAATGCCACAAAGTCTAGATCTAGCTGGACTCACCCAGGTCGGATTGCATACCAATATCTGACGTATCTAGAAGTGGATTTGGGTCAAAATATTACTTTTATAATGTGATTTAATTATTTTTTATTAAGACTGGGATTAGCATTCGCTGACAGTTGATTTCTTATATCCTAAGTTTCGCCAAGGCAAGATTGAATAAGCACTTTCTAGTCAACTATGTGTAAGATCTGGACAGCAACAATATTTAACATGTGTGGGATTTTCAATTAAGAGACTGTGATCTCTCTTTGCTAAAAGTGATGGTTACTTTTTGTCTGGATATTGTGGCTGATTTTTCTTCCCATGTTTTCTAGGCATTTCAACATCAAGATCAACATTCAATTTCAGCATCAAGGCTTGCTGAACACACTAAAATTTATAAAACGAACTAATCATACACTTGGACACTAATTCACGGCTCAGCACTGTATCTCATACCTCACAATAGCTTATGCCTTAAATGGTAATGATTCTGAGGAATTGATCAAGACGTCATATCTGGTTTTCCTTGTAAAGGTGATGTGGCTGAAGGACATGACTATTGACTATCCTCAACCCAAAGATATTTAAGGTACTAACTAAGAGTAGGTATCTAGTTTCATAGCCAAATGCAATGTAACTGTACAACAATGTACAAATAAATAAAGGTCATAATTAAGATATCAGATCGATGGATAGATGGCGCCAAGATGATGATCAAGAACAACGCAGACATGCAAATTACGTTTGTTTTAATAGCATCATTATCACTGATGCATATTCAGTATTCGAAGGATTATAATATCGGAACTCCGCGTAAGTATTCCGTCGATAAATCAATTTATAAAATACTGCGTTCCATGTCTATTAACAGGCGTACACCTAGTTATAGTGTGCGAGGGGTGAGGAGCGCCAAATGTTCCGGCACTAATGCAGTCACGAACTGCATGCGCGGGCGGCATTAAAATGCTTGATGGAGATTAACACTCCTAGCTTATAGGGTTACCAGATCCAAAAATTTGTTCCTGCCAAAATCCGTACTTTTAAAGCAAACCTGTCGGTACTATCAATGAAAAACTCGGACGTTGGCAGCGTATAAATTTTCCCCATGAATCCTGTAAATTGTAGGTACCTTTAATCCGTAAGTGCGGCTGTAAGACTTAGTAGAAATACGAATTGGAAAATCGGGACATCACTATCGGTGATCAGTTACAACATTCTTCCTCGTTTCATACCTATATCACATGGGTGATTTGTGGGTTGTGTGGTACTCTCTGCCAGAAGGGCAAGTCTTAAGCCGAGTTGCACCACATAACTTTGACCGTAACTATAACGATAAACTGTATATTTCGTATGGAGTTTGACAGATTTTTGACGTTTGTCAAAGTTAAGTTAAGATGGTGCACCCAGCCCTTAGTAGGAACTACTAATATGCCGGTAGATCAATATGTTTGGAAAAGTGGTACATCATCATCATCATCGGCCATTTCCTCTAGGATTAGTCTGCTTTGGTATCTGGTAACCCTAGCCTCAGCTGATCTAGATATCAATTATCTAAAAAGCAATGAAGCTTTGCGTTGGGATTTCATCGAGTCGTGTTTGCTGGATTGAAGAATTGGTTCAAATAAAAAGCTAAGAGTAATGGCATTGTTATAATGGATAAGTTTAAGATATCGATCTACGCAATTTGAGAGTTTGTTTTAAAACTGATTTTGATTGAATTTGAACTAAATTATAAAAGTCAACATTCAACAAACAGCGATCACATACACAGTACTTACATCAACGTTTGTTACCTACTACATTAAGGGTGGATTCGACCAAATAAGAGTAAAATAATATTAATCTCAGAATAAACTCGTCATTTTGACATATTTCCCATACTGAAACTGTCAATGTGCCAGTTATACCAGGAGTTATTCTCGGATAAAAGTTTGGTCGAATCGGGCCTAAGAACAATGAGACGAAGTTTAATAAAACGGTATCTAGGAATAATATGCCTGTGCACTAGATTGAAAAAATATGACACCAAAAAGTAGTTTATCTAGATAGCTTAAGGTCCTATTTCCTACATTATAATCTAGCAAGCATGTTGAACTGGAGAAAGTGATAATTGCATACATGATACGTCGCGTGATATACTTATCGCCAGCCGTTAACTTGGTCGGACGTGTCAGCGCTATGAAAATATTAAATTTAATTATTCATTAGCAAAATCGCGACCTACATTCTCGGAACTCGGAAGTGTTCTACTGTGTCGTTCGTTTCTAATTAGACACCGAACTTATTATGTTAAGTGATTCGACATAGTAATATGGAAGGAAGTCCCTTCAACCGGAGCGCGCTCAAGCAGGGCAGCCCTCCGCCCACGCCCTCGCAGCGCGCGCCCCCCGCCGCCCCCGCCGCCCCCGTCATGGATCCACTCGAAGTGGTGGCCACTTCAGAACTCCAGAACTGGATGAAGAGCATCGAGCAGTGCCTGAATGAGGTGTGCATAATCTCATCGGAAGGAAAACTCAACACTGACCAGAAACTGAGGATAAGCAACCTGTGCAGAAGGGTGAGCCATGGAACGTCTCAAATGGCCGTGCAATACCAGTCGCTGAAGCAAAAAGCTATTCAAGCTCATAGTAACGTACAGGCCCTCAAGGAAAACCAAGACCTTTCACAGCAAGTTCAAGACCTCAAAAACATAATTGAAGTGACCTCTAAACCAATCTCGGGAGCAGTCTCCTTTGCTGACATGGTTAAAAAAAGCCCTGACAATTTTATTCAGCCCAAAAATGTAAGTTCAGTGGCGATTTACCCCGCCGATAAAATGAAGTGTCTGTCTGTCTGTCTGTCTGTTACGCTTTCCCGCTTAAACCTCGCAACCGATTTTGATGAAATTTGGCATAGAGATAGTTTGAGTCCCGGGAAAGAACATAGGATAGTTTTTATCCCGGTTTTTGAAACAGGGACGCGCGCGATAACGTTTTTCTGTGACAGACAAAATTCCACGCGGGCGAAGCCGCGGGCGGAAAGCTAGTTATTTTATATAACAAAACGAGAATTATGTATAATAGAAACTAAAAATAAACTGTTCTATGTTAAGTTGATTGAGTATATTTCCATAAAAGACAATACATAACCAAACGATGCTGCGTGTAATGGATAAAAAACGTAAATTTATCATTTGTGTAAATGAAAACATACTTTTATTGGTAAATGTTGCCAGTAGGTAAACATTTGAGAGCTGCTTAACTGATCACGGCTTCAAATCCTTTGAGTGGTGTTTGAGAATACCATTTAAAATTGAAGGATACTTAAATTTAGGAGCCCGTCAGCTGAGTGAAAGATTTGAGTAGTGTTTCAGTATTCGGCCGTCAGCGATACACAACTAAAATCAATTAATATCGGCCATGTGGTTTTTGCCGTGACAATTAACACGTGTGTTTTATTTTGAAAAGTATTTTTTCATTGTTTTCAAGTAACTTTTTACAATACATGTTTAGTTTGTAATTTTGTTAAATTTAATCACAGGGCGTTTCTAATATATTATTTAGAAGCATAAATTAGTGTGAATTACAATTATTTGAAACATTTTTCGGTATTTATAAGCTATATTTTTTACCGATTTTTTAAAAGCACTATCACCTAGTCGGCTAAATTGTACCACATCAAGTTGTATGGAACTTTACCAAAGGATTTTGAATTTTTTTTTAGTAAATCATATTTTGTACCTAACTATAATAGCGTAGTTATGTTTGACTAACAATAAATGAAAGCAAAAGACTGGCAAAGTAGATTGAGGTACAAGTGTGCGTTACGATAATTGGAATTACAAAACTTGTACTCAAAATCGTGATAACGTGTAAAACAATATCGATTGTCTATGTTATTAACTACTGTTCCTTTACACTTCAAAAAGCCCAACAATCACAAGACAGGTGACGCTGAATGCCCTGCTAAAAAACTTGCAGAAACAAGATACATTAACTCCATAGATTATGAAGGCGCTTAAGGGCTACCTGCGAGTTATTTGTGTTATAGTTATTATTTATTATTAGATAGGTAGGTTAATTTCTGACTTAGATAATGTATTCAATTTAGTTCCATATATAATATTAGTAAATAACCGCAAAATTGCCGATCACAGACTGTTCTACTAACCTTAAAACCGAAATCATTGTACTCGTAAATTATTATTTTTGTTGACACAGACACCTGCATGCCGTATGTAATAGAAAACGCTAAGTAAGCAATATTAAGTAGCACACTGTAAACATAATAAATGATTTTAATTCTTAGATTTTGCTTAATGTGTATAGATTTAAATTTTTAGTATAAATATAATTTGTATGTAAGTGGATTATTTATGTATAATATTAATATGTATTTTGCTAATGATAGTTAATTAAAGTATAGTTAAGCCTTTATTTCGCCTGAGATACAGGAATAAAAATTTCCTAGTTCAGGCACATGTATAATTTTACCTTTTGTAGCATAAGATTAGCCTAGAGTTTAAACTGTCAAATAAGTTATACAATAAAGAATTTATTATTTATTATTATATAAGATCAGGACAAGCTTGGCAACCCGATTATTACGTTCGTTAGTACAATCACAGATTACTTAACACTCGTGGTACAATGTTGCCATGTCACTAGTAAGTTACAACGGCTCACCAATTGCTATTGCAGCTAGGAACTGGAATTCCTCCACTGCCTGTTGCTGTCTTTCCCGAAAACTTCTTCTTAGTCGGGCACTCTTGTCAGAGTGGTCGTGGTTGCGCTGACGAGGTGCATGGTGGGGTGATGTCATCTCCGAGGGTAGCTCTCCTGGCGATGTGCTTCCATTTCTGACGGTTAGAGGCGTCGCGAGTACACTGGACCATGGTGGACTCAGTGGCCTTCGTGATGGCGTCTATCCAGCGGGTTGGCGATCAACCGCGTGCTCTCCTGCCTTCCACCTAGCCCTGAACTACCAGTCTCTCCATCGAGTTCTCATTTCTAGAGACGTGACCAAAGAACTTCAGTATTCGTAGTTGCACAGTTGACGATAGTCTGTCTTTAACACGAAGCTCTTTGAGGATGGACGAACACTTCTGAGTCTCTTCAAAGCGAGAGTGAATAGACACTTACAGGGCAGGTGTGTACCATCCTAGACTTAACATTAGGTGTGTGTGATAGCAGTCAAATGCCTGCTTTGTTCTACATTAAAATATGATATGACTGCTAAGAGATTGGCCACATTTTTTTTACAAAAAGTCAACTAGTTAGTATAATACAACAAGAAGAACTGAAAGTAAAATAAACCTACCTCTCGTTCAGCGCGAGACCTTACGGCTTGATAATTAATTTTATTGCAATTAAAACAAGAATTGCGCCAAATGTGATTATGAAGAATGAAACGTAAAAAGCACAAATAGAAACTTGTGCCTTTTAAATTAAAGGCTGGTTGCTAGTTAGCATTTCACTATCAATTCAATCGCTGGCATAAATCAATTAAGGTCCTTGCCGCATATATTTAAATATTGTACACTCGCACCCAGAAATATGTGTATCTCTTTGACCATAACTTAGTTGAAAAATTGAGATTTTATAAAAAAAAACCCGTCATGACTCAACCTCAACGGATCAACGAAAAGCAGCTTTTAATAAAATACATTGGTTGGTACGGTAAAAAACTTAAACCGCAATTTTTATAGAGAGAAAGTAAAGTCCTAGTGGATACATAAGTATTTGACCACCGCCTTTTTCGCGTCGACGTTGGTCGTATTTTTCAGTGAAGGTATGGTAATGAGTAGCGGACCTTTACTGTCAGTTATTTGCAAAAATACAGATGAAATGAAATGAATTTTTTAGAAAACCAATACTAAATACGGCTATAATTATTGTCTCGAAAGAAACTGTGTTTTTTTACTTTACTCTCATATTATTGTCTCGAATCTGAGACAAGCTGAAGTTTTGTGTGTTTTAAAAGAAAAAGTCGTTATTATCCAGGAAAATAAGTTTTAAAGCCTTTTCTGGGTCCTGACTGTACCTCATTCACGCGCGCACGCATACGAAATCAAATAAAACAACGGGCATTCACCATAATTAACCGTACGTAAACTATAATTTCACTCTATTTGGGAGATGCCTCCGAAATAATTGGGTGATAAATTACTTTTTATACTTCTGAAGGAAAGGCTGGATGGCTCCCTTCTAATTAGAAGGTTATGGCAATTGAAGGGACTTTAAGTGCCATTCGTTTGCCATACAAATTGCCCGGGAATTGGAAATTGAATAAATATTACGATTAAAAGTAAATTACATAGTGTACAGTCGCAAACAAACTACAAATCGCCCATTACTCCTAATGGATTTTGAATTTTACGACTTTAAAATACGGTCCAAAACCAAGATCGTACTTTGTCTTTTATGTTTTTCCTCGAGTAAGTATCTTGGGGCAGATCCTTTTTGAGACTCATTTCATACCCCTAATAGTACTATTCTTTAAAAAAATGGTTATAAGAATATTTTCTTAGGAACAAAGTGTCAAGTCAACATAATAAAGTTGGATTAATCTAACACCACACAGGTTGATTATGGCGGTGATGAGTGATGATAAATCGCCGCGTCCATTTAATACTACACATTGTACCCTATATGACGGAACATTCTACTCAACTAAACTTATCACCGCGTCGTCTAATTACACAGACCGTCCTCAAAACGTCACACTGCCCTACTTCTTGCAACATGTAAACATTTGCCCCCTGCCCACGTGGGCACATCAATCTTCTCTATCACGCCTGAACTTAGTTCACCTATTATCAGCTGGGTTTCTATTTTTAGTTACATTTTTACTACCTACAGACAGTTATTTTTACTATGGTCTCATCAGGTGTTAAAGTGGTACATTTCTGCCTATTCACTCTTGCCTTGAAAAAGCTTAGTTCATCTTAGTCTTCGCTTCGGCGAAAACTTCTTGGGACACAGGTAGTTTTTTTTAATTAACAACGAGGAAGCCGTTGGCCTGTATCTCACCTGATGGTAAGTGACGATCAGGCCGAAGGTTGAAGTGAGCTTCACCCGGAATCCTCAACCACGGAGGAACTGGCTATCTTACCTCTAACTGCCGGAACACAGTAATGCTGTTAACATTGTTATTATACAATAGTGTCTAGACAAACCTGAAAAGGATTTAGGACGCTATTTGGATCAAATATGTAATTGCTCAATAATGAATAATAAACAAATAAAAATAAATAAATTATGGCGACAGTTATTCGCAAATAATTTTTTTGCGAAACGCTTCTGCTAGTGAGATGTGGATACGATATGGTAGGTAGTCGTTGTCGACAGGTTAATGTCATACCTACCGTAATTCCTATGCCTTATATTTTCCTAGAGTTACATTACTGTAATGTTAAAAAGAACCTTTCATAGTTGGGGATAACGTTTCTCTTTTCATAGGAACAAAACAAAACAGTTTCTTAGACAAAATAGTTTCTTTTGTTCCAGTATTGAATCCTAAATCATAAAATTGCTATAAGGTTCGATAAAGCAGAATTTAACACAGAACACAACTTAATTATTACACTAATTGCAATCGTAATAAATTACGATTTAATTATAAAAGAGTTCATAATATGGACTTACGGATTAACTTTATTTCTATTTTCTCTCTCTGCTTTTTATTCTTATTTACTAAACTCTAACTTTGCGTTAAATATCTCATATTTGGCGCAAAAAAGACGGCGACCTGGAGAGGCAATTTGTTGTGGGGTGTCGGTTGAGAACCCAAAGTACCAATTTTAACCACAAAAACAATTTCTCCGAAATCTGACAAAGAACCGTTCTTCCTATCGACCAGTTAGACCTTAACCTTTATTCAGGTACTTACAGTCTAGACTGGATTCCGAGAAATGTCTACCTCGATCCGAGCCCCGCTCGAACTTTGGAAGTATCTGAATCTGTGACCTAGAAATAAATAATTAAAAGTTTGCTAATAATACACTCCTAATATTTGAAGTTCGAATCAAATTTTGTTCTTCACGAACTCTATAAAATAAAAATCTTAAACTCTAATTAGTTATTTGAAGTTGAACTTGAAAAATTATAAGAAGTATTTGTAAAAAATAGATCTGATGATTAATCTACAAATTTTATTTTGCGTTGTTTGTTTCTTACCCATCTATTTCATGTAACTGGTTAAGATACATTTTAATCTTAGAAAATAATAATTATTGTAGTTCAGAGAGATCCGTAATTAAAATCTTTACGATTAATCCTACTCAGAAATTTAAGGTAACTATCTATACCTGTTATCAAGTACATAAATCATTTGACCCATAATTGTATTGATAAATTCGTAAATCAAGTATTTAGTCATTGTTAATTATCAATTTCATTTTAATTAGTTTCTTCCTACTCACATTTGTTAATCTAATAATTTAAAATACCTGTAATTTATCGCTTAAATCTAGAGCAAGATAAGCAGTTACTTAAGTTTATGCATAGAAAGCAATTCATATCGGGAAAGTCAAATGATTTGTCTTGAAGATTTATCTAACCGGATGTGGGGTAATTAGATATGGCAAAAACGTAACAAGGCCGATATAATGTACCTATGTATTAATATACTTAAATACCAGTTCGCGGGGTCATGAACTTTATACATAAATAATATGTATTAATAAGGAAAGTCTTTAAGCTATCAGAAAGTTTAGACTCCGATTTACGGAAATTACAGTAATAATCATCTACGAGTATTTCATCATGTCAATCATGGCGCACTATTTAATTAAAGACGAAATGCAAATCAGGAGGAATTAGACATGTATCAAAGTAAAATAGCATAAAGTGTAGGCATAGTAATATTAACTAAGCTAGGTACGAGTATCTGAGAGTTTATTACATAGATGGACGCTTGCATACCAAAATATAATTCATCATCATCATTTCAGCCATAGGACGTCCACTGCTAAACATAGGCCTGCCCAATGCTTTCCATGTTGATCGATTGGTAGCAGCCTGCGTCCAGGCTGCTAACGGCCGATGGGACAGCAAGGTTCTGGAATGGAGGCCGCGTACCGGAAAACGCAGCGTGGGACGTCCACCCACAAGGTGGAACGACGACATCATAAAGGTAGCAGGGAAGCGCTGGACGCAAAATATAATTACTAATTAGTAATTACAGAACAGTTTGATGTGCCATCCCTTGCATTACTTTATTTGCTTCTTTTCTGAGGTGACACAACCCTCTGCACTATTTGCCTTGCTGCTTTT